GAAGTACATCAGCTAAAAAACTTCAAATGTTCCAGCAACTAAAAAAATGTTGTGGCTGCCATAAATCCCAAATGTAGAATACATAGAAGTACAACAACTAAAAACCTTCAAATGTTCCAGCAACTAAAAAATTTTAGAATGTTAACAAGTTGCTGCTCCCATTAAATTCCAAAACAAGTCACTTTCAATTCCAAAACAGCTTCGAAATGCTATTACATAACAAATGTTCTAGCAACTAAAAAACTTCAGAATGTTAACAAATTGCTGCTCCCATTCAATTCCAAAACAAGTCACTTTCAATTCCAAAACAACTTCAAAATGCTATTACATAACAAATGTTCCAGCAACTAAAAAACTTCAGAATGTTAACAAATGATGTCATATTCAAAACATGCAGCAATTCAAAATACTCTAACATTCAAAAGGTGCAACAATTGAAAGGTTCAACACTTCAAATTCATAAGTTCTAGCAACTGAAAGGTCCAACACTTCAAAATACTTATATATTCCCAACTTCAAATTATATTTCCAATTTCATTACTTCACAAAATAGTCAAATTTGTACTTCATTCACTTCCTTGGTGCTTTCCTAGGTGGTTACCATGGAGCACTGCTGCTAACTCCCAACATTCTTGGACTTTGCCTTGGAGTTGGATGCACATAAGCATATGGATTTATAGAGGCAGATGCGGATAAATTCACAGAGGCAAAAGCATATGGGTTCACAGAGGCAGATACAGATAGATTCATAGAACTCAATACACCTTGCTAAAGTTGCATGTGATGAGCTTTTCTGGATTTGCATTGAAAAAATTAAGTTTACTAATAATTGTAACATACATGAAGTTGGTAAAAAAGAAATTGCAAAAATTATGAATTGAAACTCACAGGAAGCTTTCTTCTTTGCACATTCATTTGAGAACCTCTTGCATTCATTTCATAAGTAGATGCATTGGTTTCAGAAACTCTCTTTTTCTTTGAAGGATACCCAGTTGTCCATCTTTTATCAATATAAGTTCCAGGTGGAGGGTCTTGTGGCTGATTCTTACAATTCATCTTATTGTGGCCTTTTTGAAAACGTCTAGTGCAAGTAACAGTCCCTTTTCTTCTCAAATTTGCACATATGACATCAGCTGTCTTCTCCATCTCATGGTCTTTTTTTCTACTTCTCCTTGGTCTCCCTAGTTGTTTTTTAACAAGTGGAGGTGACAATGGTGTTTGGTTTGACCTTGGCCACATGTGAAAGCCTTTGACAGGATGAATTATTGGCTCATAAGCCTTTAAATAAGTGTCTTTGTGATAACATATGCGACATAATCTTCTGGATGTCTTCTATATGGATATATAGCGGAAACAACATGAATGCAAGAGATACCATTAAGATCCCATCTCCTATAACTACATGTCATCTAAGCTATATTTACCACATGTTGATCATGTAAATACTCTCATGCTTGAAATTCATAAGGTCCAACTTGAGTTGGCATACAAGTCCTAGCTGAGATATATTTGATCTTCTCCAACGTCTTTTGAATTTTAAGGCAAATGACCCCTTCATGTTTTGACATTGTTTCCCTCTTCATTTGAAACCTTTTCACAATGTTACACCTTATCATTTCTAGCATGGTTAGTATGGGTTTATCTCGGGCAGTCAAAATATAGCTTTTAAAAGTTTCACACAAGTTATTTAACAACATGTCACATTTAGGGGCAGTACTAAACCTATGTCTGGCCCACTTATCTAGATCTTTTGACATCAACCAATCATATGCAGCTCCATTCATATCTTTCAGCTTATTCATTTCAACCTCAAATTCATACCTATTTGATGCCCTAATTGCACTCCATAACAGATCCTTTAGGCCCTTGCCCTTGAACTTGTCCTTGAAGTTCCCATACATGTGCCTAAAACACCATCTTGCTGGGCTTGAGGCACCACAATGCCAAATGCTCTGTCCAGTCCCTATAATCACAAACAATCAGTTATTAAGCTTTAAAGAAACTGAAACAAAATGAAGCAAAATAAAAATACAAATTTATAAATAAACTCAATCCTAGACATGTATTTATAAAAAAAAAATCCAAGCACTATTTAAACATAGAAACACACCCAAAATCAACCACAAAGTCAACTTTTTGGGTGTGTTTATAAATGAGTTTTGAGTGTGTGTAATGATGGGTTTTGGGTGTGTTTATAAAGTGTTTTGGGTGTTGGGTTTTTTTTATAATTTCAACCTCCATTTTGGGTGTTTTAGTGAAACTCCCAAATAAAAAGTAACAAACAATGAAGTCTCCTTTTGTTGATCGGATATAAATATCCAACCATGGTCACTTATAGGACCAAGATCACCGATCAATAACTCCAAAAACCAACTCCAAGTCTCTTTTGTTTCCCACTCCACTGCAGCATATGCAATGGGATACATGTTATCATTAACATCAGTTCCCACTGCAGCTAACAATTGACTTTAAAAATAAAAAAAAATTGAAGTTAACAACTAACAAAGTGAAGGAAAAGAAATTGAAACAACTAATTTTTTTTATTTTTTATTTGAAAAGAACTCAAAAAAAGAAACTGAAACAACTAGGCTTTATCTGAGAAATGGGTCTACAACCAGCAAGAAAGCCCTTTTTGAATGCATCAAGGCATACATAAAGCCTCTGAAAATGTGGAGGAGGCTCCACCCTTATTTTCATTGTGCTTCCAACATTAGTTGCTCTAACCTCATCACAATACTCTCGTAATCTTGAGTATTGCTCCTTATAAGTCTCTACTATTATCTCCTTAGCCTTGTTCTTAGCTCCTGCACATTGACTATCGGACAAATTATACCCTAAGTCCCTCTTCACTGCCTTCCTCAAATGCTTACACTTTATATCAGGCTCATCCATGATACGATCTAAGTACTTATGAGCAATGAACACACAATTCACATATGAGTTAGTAGGGTTTCGATGACAAATGTGCTTATTAATAAATGTCTTGATTTGCAGGGTTTGCTCAAGCTGCATAAAAGAAGCATGCATTTTCCATGTGTAATTTTTACATTGTGCAATTATCCTTCTCTTATCATTTTTCACAAATTTAATATGATAATTGTCTTGCACTGCGTAATTTTTCACAGCTTTTTTCAAGACTTCCTTGCTTCCAAATAACATTCCCTTCTCAAATTTAGGGTTATCCAAATCAAACTTACAAAACTCTGGAAATTTTCTCATTCTTTCACCTTCCTCATTTGAAGAGTAATTAGGAGAGTCAAATCCTTTCTCAGAGTTTGTATCACTGTCTTCTTCACAAGCAGCAGCCACAAAATCTTTAGGAAGATAAGTATTTCCTACTCTCCCAAAGTTGGATCGAAGATTTACATCAAATTCGTTGTTGTCATTTAGAGCAGCATCATTGTCACTCTCATAAATCTCCTTATCTAATTCATCAGCACTATCTTCAAATTCTAATCTTCTTCTTCTTCTACCATCAATATCAGTGTCTTCTTCAATACTCTCTTCTTCACCATTTTCTTCTTCATTACCCTCTTCATTGATGACATTCCCTGCCAGCTCTATAGGAACATCTATAGTTCCTATATTACGCACTTGTTCTACATATCCTTGGATCAACTGTGACTCATAATTAAAAACCTCATCAAAAAATGCATATGGAACGTCATCAAATGCTGCATTATAAATCAATTGTGGTGGCCCAACATGTGGAAAATTTTAGCATAACCAAATAAGAACAAAAATGCAAACCATGCATATTGAATTTTTTATGCAAATAAATAGGGACACTATTCTTCTTAAAGCCTTTGGTAGTGAAAATATGCACGGGACCACTGCCTTTACTTCCTATTCCAACAAAAAAAAAACTTTTACTTCCTAAAATCTTTACTTTTCCACCAACTATTCCACTAAGAGACAAACTCAACCTAGTACAAAAGACTACAAATTAGGGATAAGAAATAACACATGCAGACAATCGAAAAAACAAAGTATTGAAAGCAACAAACACTTTAACCATTGAAAGCCCCTATATCAAATTGAAACTAAGTTAAATAATCAAGCTCTTTCTAACCTGGTTTGTTCAAGCTTCCACTGCCTTCTCCTATGCTCTTGGTCATTTTAGTTATGTAACCAACTTCTTCAATCGATTAACTTTTATGCACAAATGAGAATTTTTCAATTAAACCCTAAAAGGCCCAAAAGAAATCCCTAATTTTTGTTTGAGGATTCAAGTCGTCGTGTTATAGGGGATTTTACCTTAATGCCCCTCCACTTGTTCAATAACTAACGGCAACAGCTGATGTCCTAACAAAACTAAAAGGAATCTAACGGAAATTGAGAAATGTCCTTGAATTGCTTGGACTCTTATACCACAATGGCAAAAGTGACGAAATTGAAACTACAGGGACCTTAGTGGTGAAAGTTTAAAACCATAGGACTACAAGTGTCGTTTTGCCTTTCATTAATATTAAAACTGTGCAGCTGATGCTTTGCTGCTAATAGTTTTGATTTTAATCTAGGTCTGTGTATCTTTGATGACATGCCAGCTTGCATTACTAACATCCTGGCTGCTGATACAAGGGTAGACTCCAGGCCTCGTCTTCTCTGCTTCTAGTTGGCTGGCTTGTTTCCCTGGTCGTTAGCCCCCTCTGTTACCAAAAAAAAAAAAATACAAATTTATAAATAAACCCAATCCTAGACATGTATTTATAAAAAACCCAAATACTATTTAAACATAGAAACACACCCAAAATCAACCATAAAATCAACAATTGTATATTTTTTGGGTGTGTTTATAAATGGGTTTTGAGTGTGTGTAATGATGGGTTTTGGGTATGTTTATAAAGTGTTTTGGGTGTTTGGTTTTTTTTATAATTTCAGCTCCTATTTTGGGTGTTTTAGTGAAACTAAAAAAAAAAAAGAGCTACACAGCTTGCGTTTTATATTTTTCAAAACACCCAAATGAAACGAGTCGTTTCATTTAAACCTGAGGGAAAAAAAAAAAAAAAAAAGGCGCGATTCTTCCTCGCAGCCAATTTGCAGACTCATCTGCGCATTCTCTTCCGGTTCAGAAGTGTCCAGATCTGGCGCCGCATTGCTCCGCCTCGCTCCTCCTGGCCACGCCTTGCAACGCCTCCTCACGCCTTTCCCCGCCTCGTTGTACTGAGTCTTGATTGGATCTTCTTCGAAACAAAAAACCAAAGCTTGATTTCGAAGAGATGGGGTACATTGGGGCACATGGTGTGGCTGCTTTGCATAAATATAAGTATAGTGGTGTGGATCACTCCTACACTGCGAAATATGTATTGCAACCCTTTTGGTGTCGCTTCGTTAAAATATTTCCCCTTTGGATGCCGTAAGTTTCTTAATCTGTTTTCTTTTATTTTATTTTAAAAGCTAGAGTAACTTTATTTTTTTCTTACGCACTGTTCTCTCTGGGTTGAATTGGTTGGTAAGATCATTATTTTATTATTAGTGTACGTGTGCATGAGCATGTCTATTTTTGAATTTTGGTGCTGAAGGTCTTTATGATTAGTTTGTGCTGGGTAAAATCTTGAATTTGGTTATTTGGTTATTTGGTTATTTGGTTATTTGGTAGCCTACATATGATACATTTATGTTAAGAAAACATCAAAATGGATGGGATTTGTTGATTGCATGTCTAGTTCTAGATAGAACTACATATTGTAAAGTTACAATGCCAAGATGCCAAGAACTTGTGTGTTTATCCCAAATGCAGCTATTAGCTAAGGAGATTGGTTAATTATGCTCTTATTTGGTATATTGAATTTACAAGAACGAAGAGTTTAGTACTTTTCTTGAGATTTGTTTATGTCTTGCTTTTATAACTTGCTTATGATTTAACAGTGCTGGTTTAAGGTTATTTTTCCTGCCATTTACTAACTTTTTCTTTTTCTTTGGTCTATGTGCGCGTTTGGGTTTCTGTGTTCTTTTTCAGGCCCAACATGGTATAATGACATTTACTCCCAACTATGTTTAATTATTTTGATACCGTTGCCTATTAATTGATGGTTATGCTTTATTTTTGGCCAGATAACACTAATGGGATTCATGTTCTTGCTCACATCTGCGCTGCTTGGATATGTGAGTGAATTTTCTTATCATCTTTTTAATTTTTTTGTTAGTTTTCCTTTTTTGTTAATGCTTATATTTTACTTTTACTTTCACATTTATTTGTAATTTTTTATGAATGTAAAAATATATCCACTGGCTGTTTTGTGTATAATGCGTAAAGTAGAAAGTTGTTATTAGTAAGCTCCCATTGAATTTGCTTAATGATTTTTTTCTCAGATATATTCACCAAGATTGGATTCAGCTCCTCCTAGATGGGTTAATTTCGCTCATGGATTGCTACTTTTCTTATATCAGGTTGGCTTAACTACTATTTAAGCAGTGTTGCCTTTGATTTTTTTTTTTTGGTGGTGTGCCTCTTTACTGTTATGCATTACTATTTTGTTTTCATTGGTATTTCCCATTTTCAATCACTTGCTTGTTTGACCTTTTCACAAATATCTTAGACCTTTGATGCTGTTGATGGGAAGCAAGCACGACGGACAGATTCCTCAAGTCCATTGGGGGAACTTTTTGACCATGGTAATGCAACGTAATGTGTTTTGCTTCTATCTTTGTAAAACAAGAGTTGATTATTGATGGATTATATTCTGGGCAATCTCACTGTATTGCAGGTTGTGATGCCCTTGCATGTGCGGTATGTGTCTTCATCTTTTCTGGTAATTTCATAGCCCTGAAATTCAAATGCTTTTTTCATATTCCGTATGTGTTTATTTAGTTTGAAGGATTGGCTTTTGGGAGTACTGCAATGTGTGGAAGAACTACCTTCTGGTTTTGGGTGATTTCAGCTGTTCCATTTTATTGTGCAACATGGGAGCAGTAAGTTGCCCAACCTAGTTTGATATGTTATTAGTCGTTATGCATGTCTGACCTTTATACTACTCCCTCCCTCCCTCCCTCCCTCCCTCCCTCCTTCCCTCCAAAAGAACAATCCATAATATGTGTTATTTTGGACTCTGAAGTTATAATGTTTCTGAAATTTTCCATTTTATAATTGGGGAGTGTTGATTCACAATGCTTGCTTAGAGGGTTGTCTACTCTGACCCTGCATAGAATACTTTATATGAAACTTGGATGTTTTGTTAGCAGCACTGATATATTACTTTATTGATCCAGTTACTTTACCAATACCCTGATCCTTCCTGCCGTTAATGGGCCCACAGAGGGTCTAATGCTGATATATTTGTCCCATTTTTTCACAGCTATTGTTGGTAAGCTCATAATCTCCTCCTGCTATTCTTTGTATGTAGAGCTTGAAAGTTTATTTTTAAACGAATACACTATTTTTTTTTCTTTTACTTGGGTTTTACTTTTTCTTTTCTCCATTTACATTTAAATTGATTTGAAATTGCTTAACCTTTTCAGGTTCTGAGTGGTGGGCTCAACAATTTGGAAAGTCTCTGCCTTTTCTTAGTTGGGTCCCATTTATTCATGGTAAGGCTGTGCCTATTTTAGTTGAGCCTACAAATTTTATTTCGCATTGAACCCATGTACAGAATCTACATTTTGCGAGACTTGATGGCGTGCTTTGATTTAAACACCCTTCTATGAATACTTGGTGGTAGTTGGCACACCTTCCATTACCTGATTGATGTTTTACATTGTTTTATTTATCCGAATGCGTTACTATTGAGTTGTAAGTGTTGGTCGCTGCTGCTTCTTGTTCGCTTTATATGCAAGTTAATAGAATAAGCCTGCCAGACATTTTGCATATTTATTTCCAATCCATCTCTATATATATAGCTCAAAGTCTATTTAACATTTATGCATTCTTACTCCCTTGTTTTTATCAATTTCGGAACACTGCTTTTTCATCTGCTGCTTCATGAAAAATTCGTACTTCTATTGCAATTGGTCTGAATTTAATTCCTTTCTGTTTTTGGCTTCAGAAATTACAACATACAAAGCTGTGTTGTTTCTAATGGTAGCTTTTGCTGTTATCCCAACGGTCACGTTCAAGTATGTAATTCCTTGTTCCCTGAATGTTGAATTTGAGTCATCTTCCTATATTTTGTGAGTGACTCAATATAGTTTGTCTCCTCCCCAAACAATGCACATGATTTGGTGGACCTCATGTGTAAATAGTCAGTTGAATGGTAATGCTGTTATCTTTCGGATTTTTTGTGTGCAGTGTGTGCAATGTTTATAAGGTTGTTCAGGCAAGGAAAGCAAGCATGCTATTGGCACTGGCAATGGTAATGCTATTATCTTTTGGATTTTTGTATGTTAATTCTCGATATTTAATTGGCCTAATAGGTGTTCAATATTGTTTCATCCCAGCTTTACCCTTTTGCTGTTCTTTTGGGAGGAGTTTTGGCATGGTATGTCTATATTCTTTGTGTCCACACTTACCTTTTGTCTTCTTTATGAAAGTAAAAAATCAAATTATTTATATGCAGGGGTTACTTGTCACCAGCTGACATTATGGGGAACTATCCACATTTAGTCGTAGTGGGAACTGGACTTGCTTTTGGGTACCTTGTGGTAGGATATCCGTGTTTCTTTATAACCAAATCTGTTAAAGTTTCTCAATCGTCCATCTTGAATGTAATTGCTTGCTGTTGGTTCTGTGAGTGTCCTAGATTTCGAATAATGTCATTTTAATGGGCGGGTAGACAATCAAATCCTTTATTATACCATTGTTGTTGAAGAAAGCTTTGTTTTGGCAGGGAAGTATGATTCTTGCGCACTTGTGTGATGAGCCAAAGGGTTTGAAAACTGGAATGTGCATGGTATGTAACAATCCAAAAGCATTGGAATTTTACAGTCTGTTGAGGGTCTATTTCTAAAAACTATAGTAATAGCATGATACTATTCTCCTGGGAAAGAAGGCTTCATTTACAAATTTTTACTTATGTGGGAGAATTGAATGTTAAAGTATTATCCAGTTATTATTATCAATAACTTTTGTATGATTTTTTTATTTATTAAAGACCAGATTAGATTACTAATTACAATATTTATTATTCTGTACAGTCATTGTTGTATCTTCCATTTGCCATTGCAAATGCACTCACAGCTAGATTGAATGACGGGTATGTTATATTTGATATTACTTTCTGAGCTCTGAATATTGTTCGTCTGTTCTTGATAGTCCTGATGTTTCTCTTCTCTTGAACTTCCTGTGCACCTTTTGTTGCAGAGTTCCATCGGTTGATGAGAGCTTGGTTCTTCTTGGTTACTGTGCATTTACAGGTACTGTAATTTGTTCCTTTGGTGCACGTATTGGAAATACATGGCACAATCACCATTTTCTCAAGACAGATTTTAAGTGCCTTTTTTGGCCTTCAGCTGCTTCCCGTTACCAATTTATTTTTCTTTTGTTGAGAAATTTTTTAGTGTTTTGGAAAACAACATAGGCATTTGCAAGTGCAGTCTTAATAGGGATTGAATATGTATTTAAAAATCTAATTTCATGTTATCATGTCTTTTGGCTGATGTTTCTCTTTCTCTGAACACAGCGACACTCTATCTTCACTTTGCAACTTCAGTTGTTCATGAAATCACGACAGCCTTGGGAATTTATTGCTTTAGGTGAGAATGTGGTGTTACATTCAAAGCATTTATTAGCCACCAATCTTGCAGAATTTGGCATTTTGTTTTCACGGCCTACCAGGTTCAAATAATTTTTAGACTAATATCTGTCTGAAATTTAAATGAAGGTGGTATTATGTGCTCATTCTTTCACCCAGATGACAGTTTTCTTCCATTCGCATACTTCTGTTCCATCTAATTGGCGAGGGCCATTTCTTACTATACTTTGAGATCCTAACTTTCAGTTTCATGTTGAATTACAGGATAACTAGGAAGGAAGCTTGAATTTTGCTGGTGTTTACTACTGGGCACCTTCTTTTTTTTCCGGGTGCATGTATCTTTTTCGTACTCTAAATAGAAGTATCCACTTTACATCCAATTTCTGAGTTTTCAATTTCTTTTTTAAGCCATGCTGGCTAGTCAAGAAAGATGCAGCCATATTGAGGTTTTTTGTCAATATAAATTTGGTATAAGATGAGTTGTGAGTGATGAAGATCCATTTAATTCATCCTCACCGTTGTATTAGTTTTTTTTGTTGTTGTTCCCACTTTGAGAATAGAGTAGAACTAGATTATTTAGGCATGTTCTCTTCGCTTATTGCATCATTTGAAATTTGTAAAGATACAATTGGGTTTGCGCATTGCGTTGCGTTGTTTAGGGTAAAATCATGCCCTACGGAACCCAGTGATCCTGCATATATTATACAATGATTTTTTTTCCATCGCAAAATTTTTAAAACTAGCTAGAGAAGAGACAACCAGTGCTTCAAACAGATTTAATGAATTCAAGGCAGAAGGGAAGAAACACCACAATTGTGCACAGGAAATATTTGAAAGCCTCGGTAAGTTAGGCGGCATGACTTTATAATATTAGAGATAGGGGACATGTAAGTTACATTAGCCTGATTTTATGATTGTAGACGAGATATGCCAACTAGTTGAGGATTGGAATATGAATGCGAGCATGCTCACATAAGGTATCATAACTACTCATGCTTTTATTGGACGACATGCTTGAGGCAGCACCTCTGCTTGCTTTCAGCCTTGTTGCAGATAAAATAGTGGCAACCTCATTTTTGGATAATTTGTCATACATTAACACTGAAATGTGAATTTTGATCCTTATGTTATGACCACTTAGGCCATCTCCAATCATGGGTTATATCTCAAATATAGCCATAATATAATGCAAAACCTATATTCAGTCATGGGCTAACCAAAATTTTGGGCAAATTTGGCCTTTCAGCCCTTCAACCGGGCTACATGTAGCTCAGCTTTAGCCCAGGCCAAATTTTTTGTGGACCCCATGCATGTGCTTTTATACACACACCTCACACACCCCACCACTCTTCATATTAAGTTTTAGAAAAGTATATTACGATTATAATCTTAAATGCCATTTTTACTATAGCAATGTTCTCAAATAACAAGTGACTTCGTTATCATATCATCTCAGTAGGCTAAATGCCACTTTTCAGTTGTGGTCATTGGTTTTCACTGTCATCATAAAACGAAACCAAACAAACTACAATTTCCCATATGATCTAATCACATGATAAAAACAGTTTGTGAAAACAACAAAATCTCATGTATACTACCTATATTGTTTAATGATTTAAGTATTGGGATGAACAAAGAAAATTGTGGGGTTTAAATAGAAAATCTCTTTTATTTATTTATTTTTTTTTTCAGCTTAGGGTGTATTTAAAGGTAGCTTGGGAAGATAGTGAGGTTTTCTTAGAAATTGTAAAAATTTAAATTAAAAATTGGGGTGAACTAAGAGAAGTGTGAGGTTTAAATAGAAAATCTCAAAAAGTATTGGTCATGATCGTTGTAGGTTAGACCATTGAAAACCAATCCATTTTTTTCTTTTTAAAATGTGGTCACCTTTTAAAATGTCAATTCATGTAATTAAGAAAAAATTATAAAAAAATTATTGGTCATGACCGTTGGAGGTCATACCATTGAAACCCATCTTTTTTAAAAATTTAAAAAAAAAAATTTTACATGTGATCACCTTTTTAAATGTTTTCAAGTGTTGTTTAAAAAAATTATAATTAAATTAAAAAATATATAGTTGTAGAATGTATGAGTATTGTATCATAGTTTTTCTCAAAATAATAAAATATGAATGACCCTGAAATATAGCCCTGTATGGATGGAGATGGAAAAATATAGCCCTGCACTTCTTTAAAAAATTAATATTTTGAAGGGCTAAATTTTTAGCCCCGGACTACATTTAGTTCTATGACTGGAGATGGCCTTATCTCATGTATTCGTATGATTCCTAAACTAAACAGCTCTGAGTTCTTCCAGATTATACTGGCTCATATCTTCAGAGTAAAGTATGCCGGTAGGAGATATAAGGCGTCGTAGGGAGAGAAAAAGCCGTGCCTACAAATGAAAATTCAGATGAGTTCTTTTGTGATCAGATATTCAGATAAGTTCAAATAGGTGGGCATGTGAAGCCTTAGGTGTTGGTCTTACCCATTGAAATCCTACCACTGCCCACCAGCAGCCTGCTAGGCCATATCCTCTACTACTCACAAGCTGGTGAAAGAAAAATGGAATGGTAGTGTACATAAAAAGTAAGTTGTAAACTATAAATAAACTAAAAAGTAATTATATCCCAGAAAATTGGAAAACTACTCACCAGCAGTAGAAGTGCACCTAAAGACAAGCATCCACTCATTGACAGACTAATAAATCTTAGATCTCGTCCGGCCTGAAAAGAACAAACAATAAACAGGATGAATTTTGTTTACTCCAAGGTATTTATTTTATTGCAAACCAAGCAACAAAATAAACAGGATGAATTGCCTATTGCTTCACTGGAGACAATGCATACAGGACTCAGTATTCATCGATCTTTGGTCCAAAAGGCAGGCAGAAGATGTGCAAAGACAAGGTTTCTAATAACATGTGAAAAATCAACATACTGAAGATAAAATGAAACATACCAGCAGTGTTCCCTCAAAGCAGAGAATGGCAGGTGTCACAGCCAGTGCCAAAAAAAATTGTATCAGCACTTTATGCATCTGCATCAACACATAAGAGAGTATCAAGAGGAATTCTATTTGTGGAACAATTTTATCACAACTTTTCATGATCAAGGAAAAGCGCCCTGCGTCAATATTCAATATATATGGAGCTCAAAAGTTCAGATCATTGGAAGAATATATGGTGGGGATTCAGTTTAAGAGCAGTCATCAAGACTCACAACCAACTTATACCTTGTGATTTGGTGGAAGCCTGCATATATTTTAGAAGGATTGACAATTTATAAAGAAGCGCTAAAACCAACTTGATTTTTTCCTTCCTCGAGATACCATAGCACAAAGGAATAGAAATTAGGAAGATGTTAAAAAGATCCACACAAAAAAAAAAAAAGCCAACCTCCTGTATGATCTTTTGGTCAGGTGTAAAGATGTTCGGAAACAACCATGGAACACATGTTCCTCCAATTCCTAATACTGAACCAATGATAGCTCCAACAATGACAAGTGACTTGAGCAGCATTCGAGCCTGTTTGATATCATAAAGTTTTCAGAACACAATTAACAAAATAGCCATCATCCCCGTTATATTCATCAAAATGGGAGTGTTATGTACAACTTAATTGTCCAAAACAAAATACACATGGAAGTTCTTCAATTCTCAACATATACTACCAAGATTAAAAGTCCATATGGATAGAATTTGAGTATGACAAACCTTGGGCAAACTACGATTTGCGCCATATATCAACTCAGGCATAAATGATTGTGCAGTTTGAGAGAGAGGTTCGCCCCACACAGTACAGATGAAGAATGTTTGGATCATGACCTAGAGGAAATGGTAAGTCATCAATAAAAATAAACATCACTTACCTTCAAAAAGAATAATCAACTAACACGACAAGTTTGACCAAACCTAACCTGATGAGCAGCCGTGATGTTTGTTCCCATTGACGTTGCAAAATATACAACGAGAGAGAAGAAAGCTATCTATAAACCACAAATCAGTATTAGAGAATAAAGTATATTTGGATTTGGATTCTAAATTAGTTTGAATATCCGGTCACTAGTGTGTTTCTTTACTATGATTTGGTCTCCAACAAGTGTCAATATTTTCATAATTAAGTGATTTGTTTGTTATTTGGTATCCTATTACTGATTAGGAGTTCATTCTATTCAAACCCTTGTTTAATGTTATGATTAAAGCATCTAATTCTCTGATTTCTCTCCCTTGTTTTCTTAACATGGTATCAGAGCATCGATTCTACGACCTAGTGGTTATGAGCATTTACTCCTACCCCCAAGGCTAGAGTTTGACTCTCCCCTCCCCTCTGGCCTCCCTTGTAACCGAAACACATTAATCATTTTGTTAAGACACATGATCTCTTACTGTTATGGATGATCCTATCCAACTTATAGGCACATGATGCTTAAGTTATTTTGTGTCAGGCATGTGATGCCCTGCTTGGTCATTTTATGAAGACTGTAATGCCTTCATATTGTGAAGATACATTATTCTGAAGTTGTTAGAAAAGGCAGTAATATTTCCAGTCATTCTTCTGGGGAATATCAACATCTAAATTGGTGGATTATGAAAAAGGAACACATGAGACTAGATCAAGAAAGATAATTGCATGAATTGTAACCTTAGAAATCATTGTCACAAACACTGGAGCAGCAAGCCCAAGTACTGTTACAAATTCTTCGGGCGAGGGAACAGAGATGGCATAGGCATTGTATCCTTTCTTGTTCAGAGCTTCAATCATCATATATCCTGCAACAACCTAAAGTCATACCAGTCAATAGTAATGGAAAAGTTAATTGATGTGTCATGGACTTATGACAAAAAAAATTCAAACCTTATGTGATATATGTTAATATGTTTGGCCCACATACCTGTGACACCATTGTTGCCCATGCTGCACCAGCAATACCATAGCCTAAAAAACTGCAAAGGACTACATCACCAATGCCATTTATAACACTGGCTACAGCCAAGGCCTTCAAAGGACCCCAGGAATCTTTCATGCCAAGACTGGGAAACAGATTTAGAATATCAGAGTATGTACACGATCTCATTAACCTCAGCAATTAAAATCCCCTGCCAGAGATAACTTTCACTTAGGCAATAAATAAGTATTTCAAGTCAAAATATGAATGCTTGTTTTATACTGGTTTTTGACAAGTCAGAGAACTTTCCTTAGGCAATAAATGCGATTCAAGTAAAATAAGAATGCTTGTTCACATTTGTTTTTTCCATGATAGTTTATAAAATCATTCATGTTTTGCAATGCCTAAAATGGTGCCAAACTTTCTCTAGCAGTTATTTCTTCTCAACCAAAAGATTTAATAATCCCTGTGTTAAAAAGATTTAAGACTTACAATATCCATTATGGTGTTGTTGCCAATGACTTTGAACAAAGAAGACAACTACATCTTCAAAGATTTTATAGATTTGTTTCTAATCATCAACTCGCTAGATGTTTATGCTGTAGTTAATACAAGGAAAAGTAGAAGAGACATGTAACCTTGCACTCTGAGTAACCCAACCAACAAGAATTGCAGGCCATGCCAAACCTCGTACCTACCAACAGAAAACATTCTGTTCAATTAGAAAGTCTTTAAAAGAAATCAAGTGCAGGAGTATGTCGCAGACAAAACCAGGACAAGGAATCTATTTACTGGTCATAGAAGAAGAAGTATAAGGGTATGCCAAGAAAGATAACACATACAAGTGGGGGACATCATAATCAGTTAGAGAAAAGATTTGGTCTGAGTTCCACCTACTAATGAGATATTATTAAGAAATAAGCTTTCTTTTCGTGCACAAATTAATGGTGTAGATACATTTTTCAGAACTCTTTCGCATGTATCGACGTGGATCTCACATATGATAAATATAAACATTGCCAATAGCCCAAAAAAAATAAAGAAGAAGAAGAACCTTTTACGTTATATCTGGACAAGATAATGCAAAGTCTACCACATTATCATTCTAGGCATACAAGACCTTCTAATGACTAAGAGAAAATGAACAAAGAAAAAGAAGGAGCTTTTATGATATTTTAACATTTCCTGACCAGGTAAATGATTTAAAGGAAACCATCTTCTCAAAGAGGAGTAACCAACATTTTTAAGCTCAAAGGAAAGGCACCTGAACATATGTATTTGCTGCAGGAATAATATGCGCATTCTTTGATCCAGCAAAAGCTGAAAAGTTAGAATTGCGTCAGTCATGACTCTTCCATATATGCTACTTTTACAGACCTAGAAAACTCTCATATTCTACTAATGTGCTAAAATGCTTTAATCAATAGAAAACAAACAAAATCAAGCACTCAATCTTTCTGTAATGTAAAGATATTGAAAACCAGTTCTTATTACCAGTTAGCGCCCATGAACCGAAAAATCTTGTAAATAAAAGCATTAAGCAGCCACAGGTCAATCCAACAAAGAGCAAGATGGATATGTGATGCTGCACTTCATTTCTATCCTGCACCAATACTAGATAATCAAACAATATACCTAAATCATGCAAGAGAAAATAGTGATTAACATTGCATACAATCCTGCACAAGAATTCGAAAGTCAGAGAAATAAAGAATTTTAAAGAAAGAGAAACGTGGTTTTATGTCATTGCAATAAATGTACTTAATGGCGTACATATCAAAAATTCCTAATCTGGCAACAACTCCCACTCTGTTTAGCAGCCTTGAAAGTTCATACCTTCTCAACTTCTGAATAACACACAGTACAATTCATATAATACTCTCAAATTCCTTGAAAATTTGCACTTAATTCCCTAAGAAAATTTTGAATCAGTGTGACCAAAATTGGAAAGTGCAAGTCAAACTCATTTTCTTATCAACACGAGCATACACATTTATCCACCACAGAGGCATCTGGGATCTGAAGAGAAACTAACTTACCCCCTTTGCAAGCGCAGTAGCAATCATATTTGAAGTTGCAATAGAAAGGAACATGAACACATAACTCATATTATCACACATCACAGTTCCAGGGCCTGCATTGAAAACCAATAAACAGAGCTCAGCTAAAAATCTGCCCTAAAAAAACACCCCCAAAAAAAAAAAAACTAAAGTAAATCTGAATGAAGTACCTAAAGCAGCAAGCTCAAGAGAGCTTCCCCGGCCAACCACAACAGTGTCGATGAGGCTCATAAGGGGCCCACAAATCCAAAGCCCAGTGGCGGGTCCTGTAAACATTACAATCTCCTTCATTTGGTTCCATAAGCTCTGACTCTCCAACTCTTCTTTCTTCACCTCCACAACTTCTTCAGACACTAAAGAATCTTCCCCATCATCTCGTTCACGAACCCCGTCGACAGTGCAGGCGGTCACCAGCCGATTACGACGGCGTATTGGGGGTGAGAAGCGTAGCTTTGGGAGGTCAGATGTGTGGTTAAGGCCTGGGGTCAAAGAGAAATACGGTGGGTTGGTGAAGAAGAGCCAGGGGTGAGAAAGAGAAGTGTGAGTGAGGTTTTGGAGGAGAGGGGAGTGAAGAGGGTGATGAGCTATCAGGGTTTTACTTGGCATTTTTGTTCTTTTTCAAATTTTCCGGGAAAATGGGGGCAGAGAAAGTTCCACCCAAGAAAGAAACACAGAAGAATGACAGTGGTCCACTGGAGAAGATGAAGCATGAGACAGTGATGGTTTATATAGGTTTGGATTCAAATGAAATGGGCTGCTGCCACGTGGAAGGTTGTCGGCCTTTTCTTCCCTATATTCCATCCTATAGGCTATCTGTGATGGCTTTTCGATTTTCCCCTGCTGACGGCTTACGAAATATAACTCAATATATCATAATTTTTTTGTTTTATATATATATAAAAATCAAAAGACAAAGAAAGGTAAAACATTCAAAATACCAAAAAATGTTCTTGGTTAATTTAAACATTAAAAATTAAAAATATTAATTAAATTAGGATAATATAGTAAATTTACAGTTTTTTCATATTAAAAAAATTAAAATTAAAAACAAATCATATGATAAACCATACTTTTATGGAACATAACTACCCATATTATCTTTCATTAATTCTAAAAATAAAATAAAAAATAAAAAATAAACTCAATTGGCACATGCGTGAGCATGTGCCAAGGGGCTAGTAAAAATTACTACAATTTTTTATACTTTATACATTGCATCATAAGATAAATCAGTAACTTAATAACACATAACCAACTAGCTATTGGTGTAGTCTAGTGGTATTCTTATTTGCCTCTACCGTTGGTTAAAAAGAAACTCAATAACACCTTTTGAGGTACAAAGTTAAGCGGTCCTTCTCCATGATGGAGTATATATACACAGGGACTTGTGACTTTATCTATAATATATAAAGTAAAAGGTAAAGAATTGTGAAATATTCAAAATACCAGAAAATGTTTTTTGTTAATGCAAATATTAAGAATTGAAATTATTAATTAAATGAGGATAATATGGTAAATTCACAATTTTTCATATTAAAAATTAAAATAAAAGAAAAATCAGATAATATATCCTATTTTTTTGGAACAAAACTACCTATTATCTTTTTTAATTTTAAAATAAATTTAAAATTATATATAAATATATATATATATATAATTTTTTTTCTCTCTGCACGCAGGGACAAATCCGGCTATAAAAATCGTTAACCTAGCTTGTTGTGGCTTTATATATACACAGGGACAAATCCGGCTATTTGGCTGGATGGGCTGTAGCCCATGCCCTTTTTTTCAGTTGCCAATATCTATGTAGTCTCTCTCTTTAGCCCATGTATTTTTTTGTTTATATTTTCAATACCCATGTTCTCTCTTTTTCTTATTTTCTTCATTTCTCTCTCTCTCTCTCTTCTTTTTTCCGCCTTTCTCCTTGTCATTTTTCCTTCGTTTCTCTTTTTTTTTTTTTTTTTTAATTTATATATTTTAAGTTTGGATTTACTACGAATTGAACTTTTTCCCACAGTTTCTTCTTCCTATTTTTTCTCTTTTTTCTCTCACACGTATTATAAAGTCCAACTTAGTATGTTATGGCCCTTATTGCTGAAATTTCCTACGTACATAAAGTAAATTTAGCCTATGAAGTTTTGAAATCCTGAATTTGTCCCTATATATACATGGTTAATAGCCTCTCTCTCTCATCAAGCAAAGAAGAGACTACACCCTAGTACGAATACACCACATCAACATGTATATATCTTCCAGTTACATATGGCCACATGTTAATTTTCTAAGGATGAAGTTGACACTTCAGTTTACACTTCAAAATAAAATTGCTAAACTTAAAACAGAGAAAAAGGAGAGCCTCTATGTTTCATATTAAAACACAAAAATTGCTCCCATTTCGCATATAATTCAGGCTCTAGCTATAAATATATTTTGCACAAAAAAAAATAAAATCATATGCTAATAGTTTTTATTGGCTATAAATATCATCTTTGTTAGCTTTTGTTGTACTCACTGAATAAATTTGGTCATGAAAATTTGTTTACCAAATATTATTGTGGCAAATTTTCCCTTTAATCAGACTAATTTAGCTAGATTCTGCTGAATTTTGTCATCACATTTTGTTTGTCAAATCGTTTGACTGAATTTACTCTAGACTTCATTCATTTTCAACAAGAGTAAAATGTACAATGACACATCATACAATGCTAAACACTGTCATTTATGGCTAAACGACTCACTAGTGTAGTGGTTTTGAGTAATTGCTCATCCAGGCAAGGTTCTAAGTTCAAGTCCTAACATCCATGTTGTGTATGTGAGTTTAGTATATTATCCCCCCTCTCAATAAGAAAATTCCAAAAAAAAACAAAAACAAAAACTGTCATTTATGGGATTAAGCCCCATGGGGAAGCAATTATTTTGTCCTTGCATGAGCTTGGTGGGTAAGAACCCGTTTGAGACTACTTCTACAGAAAACACTTTGCTGAAACCCAAATTTTGTTATATTGGATTTTCTAAACTGTCTCCCAGACTGATTCTTGCACGTGTAATATTAGCCTATTCTGAATTCAATAATTATATAATGGTCTTTTTGTTGAAGAAACAAATAAAATTAATTGAGAAGGACTTTCTTATAGAATAAAGAAACAGATCTGTCTATCATGAATGCATTCAAGAATGATTGCAGCCTGATCTTTGGCAGTGAAGATAGAAGCACATATGTGCTGAACTCCATGATCTGAGAATGGTCACTTGGCAAAGTCCATGGAATTGGCTTCCTAAGCAGCTTCTTAAAGATCTCTCTCCCATTTTGCATGGAAAAATGTCTCTAATAGTGGACTACTGATTCGACTCTATGAAATTTAACATGATATTAGAGCAGAACTCAGATATATACAAACAAAATTAAGCTAATGCTCAATTGAAAGCCATGTGAAAATGAGTTCAACACGAACATAAACAGTTAAGCTATGCAAATATGAACATGACCTGCAAATGTAACTTGTAACGCGATTACGTTCACATGTTAAGGGATCTAATGGTATTAAATATTGGGTACTTAAACTCATTAGACAAGTTATCCGCCATGATTAAAACAAAAAATCATTTTTTTTCCAACAAAAGACTTGAGTAAAACCAGTTTACATCAAAAGCTCATAGGTTAAACATTATACTTAAGAAAATGTCCTAATTATATAAGCTCAATTCGAATACTTGTACTATCTCTTTAAATAAATAAATATATATATATATATATATATATATATATATGCATATGGACATATGATTGTTTGTCAGGTCGGTTATGATTCGCTCCCACAACATTTTCATTGTCTTCTGAAGCCCCACGAGTTGAATATGAATAAACAACATGTGAAGTTGTTGCTGACAAGCAAGATGTGGTTGGCGGAGATATTTTCAAGGCTTAATCTGGTAGTTGTCATAGTTTTTTTTTTTTTTTTTTTCTCCAAAAGGGGGACTGCTGGTGGCAAGCCACGGCCATCCACCCCTTCCGGGACCCGGAGAGGCTATAGGGAATTTCACCCCGTCCCTGGCCCTCATCGCTTGATTCACCAACGGCAGGAATCGAACCCAGGATCTCCCGTTTACATAGGGCCTGGGAAACGCCCTTACCACTGGGCCAACCCGTGAGGGTTAGTAGTTGTCATAGTTGAACGACGTTTCGAGTTCGAGTTCGAGTCCTTGTCAAGGGCGATATATATTTATGATGACATTGATTGGAGGAATTGTAATTTTTGTAAATATCTGTTTGTGAATTTAGTCTCTTGATAAATAAAAACAGGTAATTTATGTGGTGCCAGATTTATTATTGGTTTGTAACTAACTTAAGATTGGTTAGGCATGTTACTAACTTAATTTAAGATTTGTTCCTAACTTCTCTACATATGTTAAAGTAATAAAGTGCTAGACTTTCGGCATTATGGCTTCTTTGTATTTTGTTATGTTTCATCAATAATTATTATCGCTTTGTAACTTAACTTAAGATTGATTAGGCATGCTACTAACTTAATTTAAGATTTCCTAACTTCTCTACATATGTTAAAGTAATAAAGTGCTAGACTTTCGGCATTATGGCTTCTTTGTATTTTGTTATGTTCCATCAATAATTATTATCGCTTTGTAACTTAACTTAAGATTGATTAGGCATGCTACTAACTTAATTTAAGATTTCCTAACTTCTCTACATATTTTAAAGTAATAAAGTGCTAGACTTTCGGCATTATAGCTTCTTTGTATTTTATTATGTTTCATCAATAATTATTATCGTCTTCTCTCAACAACAACAAAAATGCTAGATTTTCGTACCTTTTTGTAGTGTGACAAAAAGATATAAAGAGGCCCCAATATATAAATGGCTTTTTAGGTCGAAAGATATAGATGACTATGAACAATGAGTTTTGGTTATATTAAGTATGTCATTCATCAAAGCGCTCACCTCCACAAGAATTTAAGAGAAACCAAACTATGCAGTTTCCCAAACAATGGTCCTAAAATACCTTACAACTTTAGCCTACTTATTCTAGTTTTATTTATTTATTTAAGCTTGTATTTTTCAGAAGATTAAATTACATAGATTCTCTACGCATCACGTCTTATTTTTCTTAAAGATAAGATGATGAGTTAAGAAAAACTCACTTTTACTCAAATTTCTTCAACTTTTACTCAAATTTCTTCAACTTTGATTCCATGTAATATTAGCATGGTAATTAAAAACCTAAACGATTAACCAATCCGAAACTAAAAATCTAAACTCTAAACTAAACGCCGATTGATTCTACACCTTCAAACAATCAACTATGTCTATAAATAAGATTAAAGTTATAAATAAATAAAAAATTGAAGTGAGGTCTTCTCAACACTTCATGTAACTCAAGTATAAAGAATAACTCTAGATTATTAAACTTAGCTTTTCTCGAAGAGGAGTGGAGATAACAAAAAAAAAAAAGTAAAAAAAAAGGTTTAGAGATTTAAAAAAATTAATTAATTTTGAAGACTCCAAATGAAATAATTCACACTTTGCAACCCCTTGAAGTTGACCCAAAAATGATAAATAAACAACAAAAAACTTGTTCAAATTTGGAAGTCCATGCTTCCCGCAGCTGTAGGTAGCTCGCATTTCACATTTCGCATTTCGCGTATTCCCACTTGCTGTTGTAGTCAAACAAATCAGGCCCAAACCAACAGTAAATATATTTTGCGCCCACAAAAAAAGTCATATGCCATAAATTTTGAATAATGCTACTCTTACCACATTTGTATACCACATTCTCATACCACCTTATGTGGCAGATGAGGTGGACAACACATCAATCAAAATTAATCTAAAGTTTTCTTAACTTTTATGATTTATTGACACTTTTTAATTGATGTGATTGTCCACTTCATCTGCCACATAAGGTGGTATGAAAATGTGGGATATAAATGTGGTAAGTGTAGCATTACTCATAAATTTTTATTGGTCATAAAAATAATATTATAAAAAACATTAATCTGCCACCAAATAGGACTCACTTCCCAGTCTCTTTCATCTCTCCAACTCCATTATCATCTTTGTCAGCTTTCGTTGTGGACTCGCTCAATAAATTTTGTCATCAAATTTTTGTTTACCAAATATTACGGCAGTTTTTCCCTTTAATCAAAGCCAAGTTATCTAAACTCGGTTATGCTCACTAAATTAGTTCATCAAATTTTGTTTGCCAAATCTTGTGTAGGGGCTTGGTGTTGGTGGGTTGTGGCCTGAATTGTTGAAACTAATTTTTGTTATTTAGCGGACTATGCTCGTAAGCACTTTTCTTATAAGAACATCAAGGTTTTTGTTAAAAGTGCGTCTTTAGAAAGTGTTTTTTTGACTTACAAGAACGTAGTCAAAATCATTTCTAATTGTTTGAAAGCTCATTTAGCTTTTTCAGATGCAATTTAAAACAAACCTTAGAACTGTAGAGCAACAAAAACTTTTAATTAACATCGTTATCATGCTATCTAGAGTATACCCTTAAAAACAATTTATGTGGTGAGGACGGACACTCACATTTGGCCTTATGTTGGTCTGTCCCTGACTAAACTCAGAATTTCCTTAGAAAATGGAAAAATGTCAATAAATAAAATAGTTATCGCTATAAATTACAATGACATATCAGTAAGTAAATTTGTTCACTCTTCATTATCTTAGAGGAAGGTTTTTTTGCCAAAGTTAGGAAGGGGAGGGAAAAACTTACACACACGGGTATCACAGGGGCTTGAATCCATGACCACCTGGGATCACACCAAAGGCATGAGCAATGTAACTAACACCCCATTATTTTTATTTTTATTTTTTTTATTTTGTTATTGCCCCTTTATTTTACAGTTGGTTTTACAAAGAAAAATATTATAACATTATGCAACTATAAACAAAAATAAGAATATATCATAGTAACATAGTGAGCAAGCGCGCATATTCAACGACTTTTTTGGCTCCAAATCCAATTCTTTAATTCTAAAGTACCAGGACGCCAGCTTGGACCAAACCAGTATCATCACCACCTACAACTACAAAAACCCATCTCTGAAAAAACTCCATCCTCAAATCAATCCCCACCTTCCCATTCCCAATCTCTCTGTGTGAGATTTCAAGTTTTGGGATTTTGGGTTTTCTTCTCCTCTTCAGATCTCGAGATGGGTACCTTGGGGACTTTGATGAAACATCCGGATGACATTTACCCGCTTTTGAAGCTCAAAATGGCAGCCAAGAACTTAGAGAAGCAGATCCCTCCAGAGCCCCATTGGGCTTTCTGTTATTCCATGCTTCACAAGGTGTCTCGTAGTTTTGCTCTCGTTATTCAACAGCTCGGCACTGAGCTTCGTAACGCTGTAAGTTTTGTTTCTTCGTTTGGTATATACATATAAGTGTTTGTTTCTGTATCTGCTTTTCTTTTTCCAAGTGGTGATTTGTGGGTTTACGGGAATTTACTTGATTATGGTCTTGACTGTTGATTTATCGGGGGATTAATTTTTTTTTTTTTTTATGGCCTGTGTTTAGTAGAATTGAAATTATATTGGTGATTTGTTCCTTTTTGGCTGAAGGGTGATGCTAATGGTTCACATCTGTCCATCTTCTCTAGGCAGTCAATTTTGTCGCTTATAAGAAAGAGGGTAGTCAATCTTATTGTGGTTTAAAAGAAGAGAAAATTGGTATTATTTACTGAGGGTATTTTGATGGGTATCGGATTATCTACTTTGTGGAATATGAAAATTGGTTTTGATTGGTAAATTGTTTTTATGTTTATTATTTGTCTTTCTCTGTATTTTCTGGAATATGAATCGTATATGTAAGCATGAACTTGATTGAAGGCTAGACATGGAGTAATTTTCAGTTCTGGCCTTAATTCTTTTGGGGAACAGATTGTTGTTTACTGTTATAATTTCTTGTTCTTAAGGTCCTTACAGACTACCTCATTTCATTTCTCTTGCATTTTCCATCTTTTGTTTGATTTTATTGTCATTTTCTGATGTTGACTTTTGCGGTTTTGCAGGTCTGTATATTTTATCTGGTTCTTCGAGCTCTAGACACTGTTGGTATGTTTCTATTATCTTTAGTCTTTTGCTTCCTAATATTAGATTGAATGTAGCTTGTTGCATCTTAAGTCTCTATTTGAAATAATCACCCTTGTGCAGGTTTGCTCTGTGCATTATGTAGCATGACCTGTTTAACTTTTTCTTTTCCTTCATCACACTTATGATGCTAATGTATGAATTCAACATGTTTTCAATGATATAATTTGTTCTGATGGACTCTATACAGAGGATGATACAAGCATTGCAACAGATGTCAAAGTCCCCATCTTGATAGCATTTCATCGTCATATATATGACCGCGATTGGCATTTTTCATGTGAGTGGTTTAAGATTACAATACCACATTATTCACGTTTGCTGTTCCCTGTATCCTATGGACGTGAAATTATGTTGTATAACTTTACTATGCAGTGAAAATCTTGTTTCGATAAATGGTACACACACGCACGTACACACCACACACATGTATATGTTTAAAATTATATATATGGGTAGTTTTATCTAATCAAGAACATGCTTTTCAGCCATGTGATCACGTGGACGGTTAAGATGCACAGTTGATAAACATCTTAATGCACTGAACTATCCATAGTTGATCTAGTAACTGAGAAAGGGGTCCTTGCACAAGTTTAGTAGTGAAAAATTGTACACATATAAAAGCGTATATATATATATATGTATATATATGATAAAGTTCCCTAGAAATGTGGTCTTGATGAAAAAAAGGGAGGAAGGAGTGCAGGATGACTATTTTTGAATGCTAAGAACAGTTCTCTAGAAATATTGTCATCTGTTTGAAAATATGATAAAAGATTGAACTGTAACCAGAAAATATCTGAGTAACCGCTTTCCCTGCCTCTGTTAGAAAGTATTTTCCTCTATGTTTTCCTGTCAACGGTAAGTTTTACCAGCTGGCATTCAGTGGATTGCACAAATTTTATTGTTTTCTTTATATATTAAAAAAGAAACAAATAAAAGAACATAAAGCTCAGGTAGTATTGTTCTAGGTCCATGGTACGTATGGTACATGCACAGTTGTACATTACTATGTTGATGAGACTTGTTGTCTGCTTGCTCAATATCCTTCTTCCTTGTCTTCAGGTGGTACAAAGGACTACAAAGTTCTCATGGACCAGTTTCATCATGTTTCAACTGCTTTTCTGGAACTCGGGAAAGGGTAATTTCTTATCCTTGTATATTTCCTTGATTAATTGTTGAACAGATCTTTTGTGAATGGGACTTTTTTGTTAATTCATAATAATTCATGGTACAGCTTCTCTATCAATGGACTGATTGAAAATAAGCTCTGATTCCTTTCTCATTTTCCTAATCTTTTCACGCTTGTTACTGTTATGAGGGTTCATCCAAAGGAACGTCAATTAGTTATTTAGTATTTCATGTAGCTCATAAACAATTCTGAGGTGATAAGTGTGGTTCATGAACTTGATGGTTCATACCAGTTACTGCTAACACACACAGGCACACGTGCAGACACACACGCACATGTGCACACATAAGCACAAATCTAGGTCGTGAATTATTTTTAGCCAGTGAATGTGTGGAGCTTTTTTAGCACAAGTCTTAAGTGTATTTAAGATTGGTGTGGTTAAACTCTTTCTAAAAACTCAGATTCATATTTAACTTTGTTATTATTATTTTAAAATAAAAATGGTTTTAAACATTGAGCTTTAAATTTGAAAATCCTTTGAACATTCAACGATGCATAGTTCAACCCTTTATTCAACCTCTTCCATAAATATGAGTATTAATATACAAAGTTTTTGAAGAACGTGACACAGGATTCTTGAAATATATTGAACCTCTAATGATTTCATTAGGTTGATATTGACTGAATTCTCTTGCATGTTCTTGCACAATACACTTGCCCTTGTAACTCAGTAATGTTGTTTCTTTCATCCGTACTTCTCTGTAATAATGATAGCTCCACATCAGAGAGTGTTCTTGGTGATTATAAGATAAATTTTATGGGACTAAAGTTTCCTCAACATTTCAGCTATATGGATGAAAACTTTGATGAAATTACTTAGCATGGCACTTCTGATATTTTAGGGAAATGTCTTTTACTATTATGTTGATCATGTGATACCTGATGAATGGGTAATTCTGGTGCTTCATATGCTAAATTATTTTTTAATTAGAACACCTAAATAGGAATGGTGATGTCCAATCTAACTGACTGTGAGACACTCCAGGTTCATAGAGAAGTTTTGACTTTGGAAAAATATGGTGAAGATTCTGATGCTTGTTCATTTTAATGAGTGTACGGTTTGGGGTTGGTTTGTTGAACTTGGAAATATTCTTATTGCTTGATGAAATTGTGATCTATAAGATATTATTCATCTTCATGTTGTAACAACTCTTTGCTTACACTTTTTTTCTTTATAGTATACATTCATATATGATTGGAGTTTTCATTGTACATTTTTTTGATAAGCAATCGGTATGCTAATTCTGCAGTTATCAGGAGGCAATTGAGGATATTACCAAAAGAATGGGTGCAGGAATGGCAAAATTTATCTGCAAGGAGGTTTGTGATGCACTTAGTTGAGACCTTACCTGCAAAGGGTGGATATATTCTGTTGTGTCATGTTTCTCATGTTTTAATTAAAATAAAACCCCATTTCAAAAACCTTTCTGACATGGTTTACATTGTTTCTTGACATGTATGCTAGATACTTTTGAAATATATTCAATTCTTTTCCATGTATGTACAAATATATGATATATAATCGTTTTGATTTGGACTAGTATGGAATGTTTATGGACAGCGTAGTTATATTTTGAATGCTAAGGGAAAAAAGAAAGACAAATGTAGATCAACCATAGAAAGGGTATATGATATCTGTTTTAAACTAGGACTTTCTTAAGTAATTTATTTGGGTGTGTTTCTATGTTTAAATAGTGCTTGGGTTTTTTTTATAAATACATGTCTAGGATTGGGTTTATTTATAAATTTGTATTTAAATATTGAGTTAAAACTATATAGAAAAAAAAAATTGTTTCTATGGTCAACCACTTAGTTGAGACCTAGCCTGGTTTCCTCAATTTATAAGCATCTTTTCTGGTTTCCAACCTATGGACCATAATTTGTGCATATAAACAAGCACATTGGCTAGCTTAATGTTTTTGCACTATGGAAAATCAGATTCTGCAATGAAGTGGTTAAAAATATATCAAATTTGAATTATTTTTCCATGCATGAGATTTTCAATTCCAATATTATTAACAGTGTACTTTTTGCACAATGTGCATAAAGGCCAGGTGTAGTTCTTTATGTGATTTGGATATATTTTCTCTCATCTTGCAGGTAGAAACTGTTGATGACTATGATGAGTACTGCCACTATGTAGCAGGGCTTGTTGGTTTAGGTTTGTCCAAGCTTTTCCACGCTGCTGATAAGGAAGATTTGGCCTCGGATTCTCTCTCAAATTCAATGGGCTTATTTCTTCAGGTATAACAATAATATTGATGCAAGAAATGCTTCCTGCTCTCTGTCTCAAATTGGCTTGATAGTTGTTTCTAATTCTACCATGTTTGGATCTAATAAATAACAGAAAACAAACATCATTCGGGATTATTTGGAGGATATTAATGAGATACCGAAGTCTCGCATGTTTTGGCCACGTCAGATCTGGAGTAAATATGTTAACAAACTTGAGGTGCTTCTTCTTTACTTTTATACTTTAAAAGCTTCCTATGTTATTCCTATCATTTTGGCTTCCCAACCGCTTATACTTCATTTTATTTCTAATCATTCATAATTGAGGCTTAGAATAGTGGGGTGATATAAGAATTTATGCATCACCCAGTGCAAAGTTGGAATTCTTGTCTGAGCTGGATTTTTTGATGATTGCAACTCAGGACTTGAAATATGAGGAAAACTCAGACAAGGCTGTGCAATGCTTGAATGACATGGTCACTAATGCGTTGATACATGTGGAAGATTGCTTGAAGTACATGGCTGCTTTAAGAGATCCTGCAATATTTAAATTTTGTGCCATACCTCAGGTAGATTATTTCTCAACTATATCACAACTATTAGTCTTGTGTGTGCATGTGTCGTAATCTGACATGTGTATTTTACTTATTTATATAACAAACACAAAGATTGGTAGGATTAATTGATTGGTTCTATACTATTTTTGTGCTTCGCATATGATGCAACCTTGATAAACATTGTTCGCCCATAACAGCTTTAGATTTTGGATCTAGCTGTTGTATATCATGGTTTTAGAGCTTTGTTTGCAAGATCGGACAACAAAAAAGCTTGTTTGCAAGAGCTGCATGAGGTGATATTTATTCAGTCCAGCTTAATTAGGTTATTGGACCATCTGGATTGATTAGCCGATTCCAAATGACCCTTTAGTTCTATGTACAAGTCATAAAAGATCCTATTGACTTGTAACTGATTTTTTATGACTTGTAACTTTGATTGGAAGTTGGACCAGTGAAATGATATTGATCTAAGAATTGTAGGTTTATAATATTCTATGTGTCTATCAAATTTTAGTACATTTCAGATGTCAGTTTGATTTATTCAGAGTGACTGGAATCAATTGCTGGTCATCAGTATTTAGTGCTGTTGCTTCCAACATATATTGCCTATTTAAACTAAATAGCATCTCTCTGGATGTATTTTTGTTTGCTTCAAGTTGATGGTCTAGATGTAGATTGTTTCTATTCTCAAACCTTTGAAATTCTAATAGGAAGTCTTCAGATTGTGTTTATCATGCCTTTTGGACAAAATTCAATATAATGCCTTCTGATTTCATTGGCTGCAGTGTAATTTCTTAACCATGGTTTTCTCTAAGTAATCTCATCTGATTTGTGCTGGCTTTACTAGATCATGGCAATTGGCACGCTGGCATTATGCTACAACAACATTGAGCTCTTCAGAGGTGTAGTCAAAATGAGGAGGGGTAAGATTTTAATCTATGAACATGGTATTCCTTTCAGTTTAAACTGTATACATTTTGAGATAATGAAATTAAAAACAAGTGCATATGGAATTTATAAAGAAATGGCTTTGTAAAATAGGGTAGTATGCATGTGCTATGAGATGGTCATTTGGCAGATAGTGGCAGCTACTGAAATTCTACTCGTCTTAGCAATATTATTTTGATAGTAACGCATCGTTAGAGACTATATAGAGATTTTGTTAGAAATTTTGGGAAGCTTACACTGTTGGAGACTACTCTATAGACGAGCACATGTTAGTAACTACAGTTAGTTTTATACATTTTTAATGGAAATGCTCTACAAAATCACGTCATGATAAAAATTATATGTTAGAAAAATGGAAGTACCGTGACTACGCGTTGACTATGTCTTCAACCTCTCTGCCCTTCATCCACTTCTGTCTTTAACTCTACTTATATTCGAAGACCTCCTCTCTCATTTTATTAGGGTTTGTGATGTTTTGGATTGAATAAGTATTGGGCTGTTGTATAGTTTTTGGTCATACTTGTGATTTTGTCATAATTCTTTACTAAACAGTGTTCAATTAATTGCTATGTTTTGTAGGCCTTACAGCAAAAGTCATTGACCGAACAAAATCAATGGATGATGTCTATGGTGCTTTCTTTGATTTTTCTTCCATTATAAAGTCCAAGGTATGATAATTTCAGAGACAAGATATATATGATCTTGTAACTAAATTGCTTTAACTTCATACTAAATCATGGGTGAGACTTATTGTGAAGGGCTTTACTGTGTTACAATTTTCAGAGGTTCTTGACAGATTAAAATTAATTTTCGGCTGCAGGTTGACAAGAATGACCCTAATGCAACAAAAACATTGAGCAGGCTGGAAGCAGTACAGAAAACATGCAGAGCCTCTGGAGCCCTGAGCAAAAGGTATTTCATACTTTCTGGCTGTCCTATGTAAATATTGAACATTCTTCCTTCTTCATTGTCTGACATGTACGTATGGACTACACCAGGAAATCCTACATCGTCAAGGGTGAGCCGAGCTACAATTCAACTCTGGTGAGTTTCTTCTAGATATAGAAAATTAAAAGTGAAAGGATTAGTATCATTCCAGAAAATACATACTGATGAATCTACATTCTGAATGCAGATTGTGGCACTGTTTATTATATTGGCCATCGTTTACGCTTACCTCTCTGCCAGCCCAAGAATCTAATGTAAGTTTTCGTCACAAGAGCGATGGATCACTGGTCTCATGGCCTTCAGTTCTGTTAGAAAGCAAACCACTACCTCTTGCCCAACTCCGTTTCTTTTTGCTGTGCAGAGTTTACATTTAAAATATCCCAAGACATAAATGGCTGGTTACAAAAGTACAGGCCTTGTTCCATCAAACCAAAGTAGTTATTTTATATTTTTTATGCAATAATGACAATGCTGCTACGGTTGTATATTCGATATAAAGTCGCTTGAAATTATTGATGTAGCTTTCAACACCATTAGCATAGTTATTGCTGACATACAAGTGAGCATTTGTGCTAATTTTACGAAGTTAACATTTGATTTGACCTAAACCTTGTTCCATCTTGAAAAAGAAAAAAAAAAGAGATACCTTGTTCCATGAAAGTAATGTAGAATTTAACCAATATAGAGAATGACGCGTAAAGTTTTTGTTGTCTCTTCCAATCCAATAAAATTGGAATTCCAATTTTTGCTTCCGTGTGTTTACTAACATTTAAGGAATAAAAAATTATGCATCTCCTATACTAAAATATGTAATCCAATAACCTAAAAACTAAGAATTGGATAGAAGTAGTCAAAACAAACTCCCACCCATAGCTAAAATATAAAATCAAGTAATGTATATAGGCAGGAAAGAAGAAGAAATAAATAGTATAATGAAGTCCAACAGGCCAGCACAAAAAACTCTAAACTATGCGATGACTAGCTCTAGGACAAGTTACACAAGAAAATTATATCGAGCGTGCGCATAACGTGTTGTAAAAGTAAAGAGAGAAATATGAGAGAATACGAAGTTTGTCTTTTTCTTCGTTTTTTTGGTCAATCCTTTTCCTTTTCCTTTTACTTTTTTATTTTTGTTTTTTTTTAATACAAGTGATAGCCTACAAAGAGATGAATGTTTCTCAAACACACACACTACCAAGGTGTCATGGAGTTCGTGTTGGAATTTTTGAGTTCGTGTTATTATTACTATCTTTATTGAATTGAAATTTTAAATGTGTTAAATGTTGGTTTAATTCTTTTAAAGTTGAGATTTCAAAACTTTTTCCTCTTGGTATAGCAGGTCTGGACGTATTCTATTGATATTAATAGCTTTAATCTCTTTTGACAGTTTTGTTTTGGATTTAACGTCTTAAATTTTGAGATAACGTGAAGGCCAAATTTAACTGGCTATGATTTAATTGTGTATTAATTTGATATATTCATATTTGGTTTTAAACCATGTTAACGTTGGCAACTTATTGCTTTTAACGGTGGGAGCATTTTATGCCGTTTAATTGCTTGTTTAATAACCAAACCTCAATTTGTTTTCTTTTATCAAGGGAAAGATTCGAGTTGTTCAGCCAATCCAAGTATTACGATTGTACTTTTATGAGGGTCATAGTTTGTATCCTGGAGGGTAGGACGCCATACAACCTTGCTACACAAAAACATTTTCTTTGAAGGGAGAAATCTACTCTTAAGAACAGTGAATAACACGCCTTAACCTAAAGCTATTATTCTACTCAAACATGAATGGAGAAGGATCTTCTATGCCCCTAAAGATAAGTATTTTGCTGTAATTTCATTGCCTTTATTTAATATACTCTATCAATGCAAATTACAATTTTCTAATAATTATTTCATATGATGTTTTGCAGGAAAAGTAGCATCCTTCAACCAAAATTTCCAACAATCTTAAAAAGTAAATTTCGCCCCTCGGAGACAAAACACTTAGGTTGTGTTTGGTACCCCTCACTGGACTAGACTAGCTTAAATAGCACTGGAAACCCAAGTTTGGTAAGAGAGGGGACTAAGGCCCCGTTTGGGATTGCTTTTTTTGGCCAAAAATCTGCTTAACTTTAAAGTTAAGCAGTTTAAGGTGTTTGGTAAAAATAAAATATCCTACTTATTTTAAAAGCAATGGTCTTTTGACAGTAGCTTTTAAAAGCAACAACCTCGGGGTTGCTTTTTAAAGCTGCTTTTAATTGAAGCAGCGCGCTCCCTTAAATGAAATTTTTGTAATTCCACAAATACCTTTACTAGGTTAGAAATTTATCCTCACGTATTTCTCACAAATCTGCAGACACCAAGTTCATCACGTAGCCTCCCAAGTTTGGAGACAACCATTCGCTCAATCTCTCTCAATCTCTTTCACAAGGTAGATTATCAATCTCTTCAAAGTTATTGATTATAATTTTCTGGGATATTTTTATTCTTCAATCTCTTCAATCTCTCGAACTTTTTGTAGACGTGCTGTTTGTGTTTTTTTTTTCTACTGGAGTTTCTGTAGAACTAGCTGCTGCATCATATCCATTTTAGTCATTATAAATAGTTACAACACTTTTACGGTGAAAATTACCAAACGCACTGACACTGCTTTTCATACTCACAACGCTTTTAAAATTACAATTTACCAAACGTTTAACTGCTTTACTTTACAGCTGATTCTTTTTAAAGCACAGCAGAAGCAACTTTTTTTAAAGCGGCAGCAATCCCAAACTAGGCCTAACTTAAATGAGATTATATAGTCAAACAATGAAAAAAAACCCTTCACTCGCTCCTCTAATATAGCAAAATTGAAAAGTGGTTCGCGAAATAGCGAACTCGCTAAATAGAAAACGCTAGTTAGAACTTCACCAATTTCTTCTTCTTCTTCACATGGAATTGGATTTTCTGGATTTGTATTTTTAGTAAATTGTATCGACACCAAAAACGATTCCCAATTAGACACCATCACCATTGCATAACCCAAAAACTTGACATCTCCACCTCCCTTGCACAACCACAACATCCCCTGCACAATCGAGAGTGACATATTTTGGGAGGAAAAAAAAAATCAAAGGATGAAGAATTTGGATTCTTGAAAATAGAAGAAGATTAGGCCATCTCTAGTCATGGGCTATATCCCAAATATACCCCTAAAATAATGCAAAACCCATCTCCAGCTATGGGCTAAACAAAATTTTGGCCAAATTTTGGAGGGCTAAATTTTTAGCCATGGACTACATGTAGCCCTATGATTGGAGATGGCCTTAATGGTAGGTCTGTCACCTTTGGAAATGTTTCTTCCCCAATTAATGGGCTGCTGCGATTCCCTCTTTCATCGCCTCATCCAATGGTGAGCAATCCAATAGGACCCCATCATCATCATAATCATCCCCATCTTATTCGTAATTAGGGGCAAAGTGTGGTGATAAGGAGGAGAAGAGGCATGGTTGTGTTTGTGGAAAGCATGGCCTGAGTTGTGTGGTTTGGAGAGGTAGGGAAATGGTTTTGAAGAGGATCGTAGGTGGTGAGGTGACAGGGAGAGGAAGAAGAGAAGATATTTGTGGTTTTCTCAAATATTTTATTATTTTAGCTTAAATTTTATTTATTAATTGTTTATATCCACTATGATGTTATTATGTTATCTAGTTTTTTTTAATAGAATTTTACTATTGTTTTAATTTTTTTTTAGAACATAAATTAACAAAAATACACTTGAAAAATAGCTTGCATATTATTATTCTAAAAAAGATATCAGAAAGCCTTTAAAAAATATCAGAATCCTTAATTAAATTTAAATATTATAATTTATATTTAGTCTGACACAATACCAAATATAGATCTTCACTATTTTTACAATATACCTTCTTAGTTCGACGCAACACCAAACGTAGGTCGGTACTTAATCCAGCTTAGTCCAATCCAAGTCAATCCAAGACAGTTCCAAGATTTAGTCCAGTCCATGATAGTCCGCTGTACCAAACGACCCCTTATTGTCTTAAAGAAGCTTCTATTGAGAATCGAGAAAATATAGTGACAACTTGGATATGCGATCATGATTTCTGCCATTTGGAGTGCACAAAAAGGAACCTAAAGCACTTGGTCTGCAAGTTAATGTCTCCCTTCCACTAGGTTAGATCTCGTTGACTTTTCCTTAAACTTCTTTATATATAATAAATTGAATTATCGAACACAAATGGTACCTAATAATAATAGTGGTACAATTCAAATTCAATGCAACAACTACCATAAATAGCATGTCTGCGTCTCATTCTATAACTATGATCTAGAAGTTCATTTATTGCAACATTAAGACACTTTTTACAATTTACGTCCCCGAGCATACAATGGTCCACGAATAGTTTTAGAACTTAATCTAGTGAATAGTTGACGAAGTCTTTTCAGCATGGGATGATCATTGAAATCAACATTTATCAAGTAAAACCCATTATTTCTGTCATCTTTACAAATGAAATCTACATCTGAGTATTTTAAATAGTAAATTTGGCTTACACCCTTCAAATTCAATTTGCCGTACCTAAAACCCTTCACTTTTTGTTCCTATAAATAATACCCAATTTGTATAAGTAAAAACTCATGACTAGGATCTAACTTAGCAAGTTACCTAATTAAGCATAAAATTTGATTTATTGTACTTTTCCGATTCCAAAAATACCCCCAACTAAGCCATTATTGCATTTTGTATATTAATGTAGGAATCAATATGGAAATAGTTTTTAATTGGATTGTATATAATGACAGATGTTGAATTTGGAAAGATCTCCAAATGGTTGTAATGGATGTAAGAATTAATTTTGAAACATTTTAAAAAAAATTTAACAATAAATTCAAATTTGGGTAATCGGTTTGTTTAATAAAATGTTTATGTTATTTTCTTTTTATGAATTATAAATGACTAATAATCCACTTTATAATTGTTTATGAATAAAACTGTACATACTGATTATGTTGAAAAAATAATGTACCTATTACTTGTTTGTTTTATGAAAAATATAATTTACCTAGTATGAAAAGTGTACATAATTATCTATTCCAATATATCTACATTATACGACATCCAATATACCTACATTAACTTTAATGTACGTACAATTAGGATTTAGGTATTATATGCCATCCAATGTACCTACCATTTGAATAATATACCTACTACGAATAAAGTACCTATTATTTGTTTTATTAAAAGCAATTTTTTTAAATGAACCTGTTTTCTCTCTCCAAATAACGTACATATTTTTTCCTCTAATAATGTACCTATTTTTCCTCTCCAAATAATGTACCTATACACATTTACAGGTATATTGTAAAATAATTTACCTGTTGGTAAATAATGTACCTATATTTTATATAAATTATTGTGTACCTATTTTTAATTATGAAAAATATACGCAATTACAAAATAACTGACTTTGTTTTTTTTTTTTTGGTAAATAATATACCTATATTTTATATGTATATATTTATATTATATTTTTCATAGGTACATTATTGGATATATAATTTACAGATTTTTTGTTTGTTTGCAATTTTAGTGGGCGAGATGTGAGAGGGAATGACAACTAAAAGAAATGGGGTGATTGATATG